TAGTACAAGATACGTTGAGTGATAAAGGAAACGGGATGGGACAAATAACTAGCTTCATGACGTATACGTAGGCTAATATTAGGCTGCCCAGGTAGACTTAATCGACTCCGGATGCACTCCTCGGAGGCTTCCCGTGTTCGTCGGGGTTTCAGCCGATGTTACCCTCGGCTGGGTATCGACAGATCTTGAGGGAAGTAACCTGCTCGAGGTCCCGAGCCTCCGAGGCGACCTACTGAAGCAATTTGTCAATGAGAAATTGGTCCTCCGATTTCACCGTGCACAATATTTATAAATTTTAAAATTACGTTAATTATAAGATATATTTAATATCCAAGAAAACGTTTTTTGTCATGTCAAATTTTGATAGAAATCCTTAGACAATATGAAGCATCTAATAGTGCACAAGAAAATTCAAAGCCTAGTTTTCTTGCACAATATGGGATCCCCCCCCCCCCCAATATGGGAATTTCCCACGCGAGTTTGTATTTAGTCGGGTCCCAATGCGAATACCGGACACCGGGTGAGAAACCAAAAAAAATAAATATGATTTCTCTTTTTTCCAATTGAAAGGGAGCTTTGAAGCAACGGTAAAATTATCTCCGTGCGATGTATAGCCCACATGTTTAAGCCATGGAAGCAACCACTAATGTTTGCATTTTTTTCAAAATTACTCGGATTAGTGAATTCAAAGCCTAGTTTTCTGCATAACAACTAATTTCGTAGAGTCAAGCCTATAATCAAGACATTTCAATTCTATCCGCCTAGTTTTCTGCATAGCAACTAATTTCGTAGAGTCAAGCCTATAATCAAGACATTTCAATTCGGATAGAGATCATGAATTCAAATATATGATTTCTCTTTTTTTCAATTGAAGGGGAGCTTTGAAGCAATAATAAAATTGTTTTCGTGCGACTTATGGCTCACATGTCCAAGCCATGAAAGCAGCTACTAATATTTGCATTAGGATAGACTGTCTACATCGTACTCCTTTCGTGTGGCCCTTCCCCGAACTTTGTGTGAATGCGAAATGTTTGTGCACCATAATGCTCTTTTTAATGCGAAAAAATAGTTTGCTGAATTACGATGGTGATCTATTCATATTGGACATTCAAATCTTGGTACATGAGCATGTCAAGATGTGATATGATTCAAACACTATATCAGTGAAGTCGAAATAAAATATTGAAATGGTGATGGAAAAGTTAGTTTAGTAGATAAAATGCAATATCGAAGTTTAAAATTTAGGTAGCTTAACGAATTTGAATTTATAAAAGTAATGAACAAGTGTAGGTTGCAATGAGATAAGAGTTTCCTTGAGAAAATTGGATAGTCAGAGATCAAGTGGGGGCAAGTGCACAAATAGTCATTCTCATGGATACTATTTAGAGATAAGCCAACACTAGTTTTGTCTGAAATTTTAAATTAAAAATCTTCAGGACAATTCAGGACATTTTTGTCCCAAAATTTGTTTCAAGACGCACATGCTAATTCTTAAAAAGCATCCGTTTAGAGTGGCTACCTTGTGTCATTTCTACGATCCGATACATCCATCAAGTGCACCTAAGCACATGAACTTAACCAGACTTGAGAAGATAATTTCCAACCATAAAATGGGTTGATATCTCATAGCAAGAAACCACAAACTGATCATCTCACCCAGAAACTGACTTGAATAAATACATTATTTTTTATGGCAAACTTGAGTTGCAGTTGCCTTATAAGCCATCTAGTTTTTGCCTAAAAGAGTATCGAATTTGAAGCACAAATAAAAACACATGCAAGGACTAAATGTACCAGTAATATAAAAAGTGCATGTAACTCATACAAACAGAGGTCACTTAGCACAACGACAACCATTCCTCCCCTCAGCACCTCAGACTCCTTAGAGTTAAGAGTCCAGCGCCAGCTTCCTCAAGCATCTGCACGCAACAAAAGCGCAAGAGTTATGATAAGCTTTCTGAGGAACACTTAGGTGCAACTATAATGGAAAAAGAGGTAGCTAAAGATGCTAAAGTTTCACCATTTAGGGGAACGTGTACTCGTTGAAGAGAATCCAGAATGAACATTTGGAATGGATATGGAGAGCTGTGTGGTGGAGAAATTATTTTTGCTGGATCCATCATCAAGATTGGACCATGATTCTTTGGATGTAGGCCACTCGTCAAAGAACGAGCGCATTGGATGCGGCTCCTGCTTTACTGTATTCGACATCAAAAAAGCGTATTCGTAAAAATATTTGGAAAAGGAAGGGATATTCAATAGCATTAAAGGCTTTTTCGTCAACAAAAATACCAGGTGGATCTATGTCATTGCCAAAGAAGCAATGTTGGGGTTGCTGTTTTGCAATTGTTGCGTTAGTTACAGGCTCGAATGGATGAGGTGGACGCCATATGTTGTCTGTGTTAGAACCCATCCCTAGATTTCTCACACTCGCGGAAACTTCTGATGAGCCCTCAGCATCAGGAACCATTCCCTGGAGATACCTGTGAAGTATTTCATGCCATTTACGCCAGAGGCAAGATCAACACTAAACCATATCAGACAATACCGGAGCAGTTGATGAGCTAAAATTGATGAAGCAGATGACGAGATAATATCATGGTTGGTGATATCCTCTAAGTACTCATGATAGACTAGTATTTCAACCTCTGTATGTAAGATAATTTGGACCTCAATGATTTAAGATATTGAGATCTAAATAATTAAGATACAGACCTCCATTAAGTGTAAACAAATGAGGCCTTAGCATAATGTTGCTCCGACTCTCCGAAAATGTCGTCGGGTGCGTGTCGGATCCTTCAAAAGTAGTGTATTTTTAGAGGATCCGACACGGGTGCGGCAGCATTTTGGAGAGTCCGCGCAACATAGCTTAGCATCCTTTCAAATGTAAAAGATTTCAGCCAGCAACTCTTATCTTTCATCAGCAATAGTAAACAACAGAACATAGGAGCAGAAGACTTGTCACTAGAAAACAGTATTTTTAAACAGATATACAGCCAAATAATTAAAGTGCACAACAGTACGAGAGAAAATGCATCAAAGAAGAACAGGAACCATAGAGGACAAAATGGATATACCTATACTCCTTGTTATTTATCCCATAAGAGACAGGCTCCATCTGTAGCTTTGTTGCAGTGCTTCCATAACTCAGTCCATCTGAATTAGCAACGGAATATAATGGCATGTTATGGAAGTTTCCACTGCTATTACTTTGAAAACTTCCACTTCTATTGCTGCTCCCAGTAGTAATATGTGACATACTAGTCGACAAGGACTGGGAAGTAGATTGAGATTCCACAGGCTTTCTTGAACGGTTACGGCCTCGATGCATGTGCCGCTCACAATATTTTGAGTCAGGATGTGCATCTTTGGAGCACCTCCATTTCTTTCCATCAGTTCTTCTACATCTTCCTGGCTCGGGGTCAAACTTCTTCCCATAATAAGAACAATAACTCACTGCACATGTGAAATACAATGAGCTAAATATTTGCCTAACAAGCCCCTTAACCACCGAATGAGAAAGAAAGGCCTTTCTCTAGTTATAAAAAAGAGAGAATATTTTACTAGATTTGAACGGCTACAGTACACTGCAGTGTAAAAACTCCATGAGACTGGAATGTATGGTAATAGAGATTGACATTTAGGCACAATCTCAATAGGAGTCCATGAGAGAGATATCGAAATTTAATACAGCTGTACACTTCGAAATATGTGTAAAGCCAACAAGCAAAAACTGGATAAGCCACTGGAAAGGCAAAAAACATGCCAACCTTAGCTGTATTGCCATAAGGAAACACAAAGAAATAGTCCATTACATGCTAATATGGGTGGATCTATGTTTAAGCAAGCCATCGGCCGTGAAAGATTAACTATTTATATTAAATGATTGAATTTAGTATAATGGTACAGGCTAATATTCATTGAGCTAAAGTCGCGGGTTCAAATAAAAAAAAATCCAGGGCATAATTTATCTTTTCATTTTAAATGAAACAATGCAATTCGCCCAGGCTTTTCCAAAAAGAGAGCACGTGTTCAAGGGAAGGGGAGCCTTGGAAGAATTCGGTTCAGATGTAGGATACCTATCCAGAAGTTTTCGCAACTCAATCATAGATGATGGNCAATAAATCCAATGAATACTTGCACTGGGTATCTTTTAGCAGGGAGCTTGGGATGGGCCCAAGTAAAGGCCAGCTAGTGTCCTATAGCGCGCTCCCTTTCTTTTGGTATCTTTCGCTTGGAACCTAATCCGCGAAATGGATACAAAAAAGGTGGCAAGTTTTTTCTCAATCGAGAGTCATTTCCCTTAGTGACTGACGAATGGAATCAACCAGATCTTTACTTAACTTGTTTTTTGTTGCTCTCTTTTGTTCCAACGAATGTCGTATCTTGCTTCTCTTGTGCCCTCTCTTTCTATCGCAGCCCCTTTCTTCTTTTTAACTCGAACTGNGGCTCCAAGTTGTTCAAGAATAGTGGCGTTGCGTACCTGGTAAAGTTGCTACCATGTGACCAGGAGGTCATGGGTTCGAGGTGTGGAAACAACCTCTTGCAGAAATGCAAGGTAAGGCTGCGTACAATAGACCCTTGTGGTCCAGTCCTTCCCCGGATCCCGCGCATAGCACGAGCTTAGTGCACCGGGCTGCCCTTTAGAGCACGTGTTCAAGGATTAATGTGTTGTTTTTTGAATTTGATGTATTATATAAATTAGCTAATTTTTTTATCTTTAATTGGAAGGGCAGCCTTGGAGCGGCGGTAAAGTTGTCTTCGCGTGACTTATAGGCTGCGAGTTAGGGTCGTGAAATCAACTACTGATGCTTGCATTAGGGTAGACCGTAGGCTGCCTACATCACACCCCTCAGGGTGTTACCCCGATCCCTGCGTGAACGCGGGATGCTTCGTGGACCGGGCTGTCCCTTTTCATCATTTAATAGTTATTTTTTTATTTCTAGGTTATTTACATATACGGAAAAGGGTCAAAAATACCCTTAACATATTGAAAATGGCTCATAAATACCCTCTGTTAACCTTTTGGTATACCCTTAACATTTTATTTTGGCTCAAATCTGCCATTATATTTAACGGACCATCTATTGCAAAATTTGAGACTTTACAATAGCCACCTGGCCCGTTATAAACATGTCATGTGTATTTCTTAATATTAAAATTAAACTCCATCTGTTTAATAGTACCCAACTCGCCCCTCCTGGCGGCTGATGCTTGACAAATTATCCCCTGACCCATTTCCCAGAGAAAAATTTTAACCCCCACTTTTGTAAATATTACCAAAAATATATGTTATTTCTGTTGAAGTGACCAAGTAGGCCATTTAGGGTTAAACTATCGTGCTTCAAACCAAAGACTGGTACAACCAATTGGTTCAAAATCAACTGATTTCGTCCGTATTTCATCAAATACAGAACTTTAAATATACAGTTTTACATATATACTAATCTCCATTACATCACTTTAGCAGCTACAAATTTAACGAAACAGATCCTGATAATAGGAGAAATTTTTTATTCTTTGCACTTTGTTCTCTAATGAAGTTGAAAGAAAGAAGACAAAAAAGAGTGCAAAAAAGAAAATGGACTTGCAGATCCCTATTTGTTCGAACGAGGATGAAGAATGGGGTACAAGGTTTAGATTAAAAGAAACAGGCCAGGCATCATGTCTGGCGAGTTGGGTGCTTTTAAACAAACGGGTAGGTTTAATTTTATTACTGAAAAATATATGTGGCATGTTAATAACATGTCACATGGATGTTGTAAAGTCTCAGATTTTGCCATGGATGGTCCTTTAAATATAAGGATAGATTTGAGCCAAAATAAAAAGTTGAGGGTATTTGTGGACCAAAAGGTTAACGGAGGTATTTATAAGTCATTTCCAATACGTTAGGGGTATTTTGGCCCTTTTCCATTATATATATTGTAAAATATTAATGTGTTTTTTTAACATAAATAAGAAGTTAGAAACTCTAAAGCAAAATATGAAAAGTAAAATTGTTTAGTAGAAGGCAGAAGAGTAGTTCCCTCTATGCACGCCGTGTGGCTGCATCATGACAATTAAATTTGTGTAAAGGTTATAATTTAATTTATGAATAGTTATACAATAGATAAATTATTGCTGGTCCAAAGCCCGGATATAGGAGGAGGTTAAGGTACACCGGCAGGCGGCATAAAACTTGCCAATTTACGAACAATACTCATATAGTAATTATTATAGTGACATGGCGAAAGGTGAACAAATGGGAGAGAGAGAGAAAGCATATCTGATTGAGATTAGTTGAGGCTCAATAAACCTATGATGAGTTAGCTCTCACGTATTTGTAGGGATGGTAATGGGGCGGTGAGGGTGCGGGGCGGGTTCAGACACATGCGGGGCGGTGTGTGTTTAGACATATGCGGTTGCGGTCGCGGGGCTTGACGTGTCAAAATAAATATATTTAAAATTTATGCGGGTGTGGTGCGGGTGCGGGTTTAAAAACTTCATCAAAGAAGGAAACTCAATTTTCTAGCTTTTTAAAGATGAAACTGATTCCACGTAATATATTGAAGCAAAATAAAGTTTCATATTTAAACACAGAAAATTAAACAGTAGCCATACATGACAACAAAAATTGGGTTTCAAGTATATGAAGAGCGTTTGAAATAATATTTGTCAGTTGTAATCTTAAACAATCGTATCCAAAGATCATATTATCTGGCTATGAATCTTTTTCGTAGAAAATAGTTGTATTACTCAACTACAAAATTTAAGTCATCGCCATTTAAACATTGTATATCTTATGACAAAACTTTGTTGTCACTAAGCCACAGGTTGATTAGAAACAACAAAATGATTGTCACTAATCATTTATTTATCAGTGACAAAAATTTAGGTTGCAAATAAATGTACTATTTTGTGGGTAAAGTGTTTGCACCATTTAAGTACAGATTTTAATAATCACTGTTTAAGAAACGTCTTCACACCCAAAATTTAGTATTTCTAACGAAAATATCTATTAATTGATCTTCACAAAGATTTTTCGTATTTCTAACGAAAACTTGAATATGGTAAATTAACATATATACTTTTAACAAATATAAAAAGTTGAAAAACAAAGAGGTATTATGATATCAAAGGTTTTTGTTAAGTAACTTTTACTGCATATGTGCAAGATTTAATTCTCTTAAGTATCTTATCTTCTTCTTTCCATAACTGAAGTCTTCCGTAATCTTTAGAATTAATAAAAACACGAGTACATATAGTAAATGTAAAAGTATTACAGCCAAAAGATTAAAAAAGAATTAAAACTAACAAAATGAAAGGAAAAAAAACACTTATGCGAAGCGGGGCGGGGCGGGGCAGGTGGACGTGGGTGTGGATGCAGGGCGGGTGAATGCGGGTGCAACCGCTATGCGGGGCAGGGCGGGTTGAAATTTTGCGGGTTAAGAGAAAACCCGTCCCACACCCGCACCGCACCGCTTACCATCCCTAAGGGCTAACAGTATTTGTTTTGCTCAAGGCTAGGCGTATAATAGATTTCTGGATCTCGAGATTAGCTTGTTTTGGGCATTACAGATACACATTTGTAGTATTTTCTTCACTGTACGAGAATTATAATATGGGGGTTGTAATACAATGAGTAATAATCAGTCTTGGATCTTTGTTCATAATATACTAAAATCTGGAATAGCTATGTATCATTTAAAAGATTCGTGGTATATAAGATGGATAAAGTCTTTATAATCATGTAACATGGAGTTTATAATTANGATCATGTGTAGAGTTGTGCTTATTTAACTAATTAAACTAGAATTGAATTTGTAAATCGCTCCGCTCAAATGCAACACCTATCGGCCCTCTCTACTTTTGTTGTTTTCTTGTCATAGATCGTTGACCCCCTTGTGCAAAGTCCTCGCCTCCTAGGTATGCCACTAAAGTGCACCCTCAGTTTTACACTAGAGACTAGATCGAAGTCATAGATCGTTGACTTCCTTGCTCAAACAAGCTTTTGTAAAAGAAAAAGGATGACTCTAATACGTTACAGAATAAGAAAGAAATTTTAAAACATGAATGGGCAATATACTTCCAACCAAGATTTTAGAATCAAACACAAGCTTGGCTATTCATGATTATACTGCCATAACAACAAATAAAGGTCTTTTTTTCACCCAGACAATGACAACGAAAAGGAAAGTGATGACAGACAATGTTCCTAGATCTGCATGCTCCCACTAAACCATTGAAGCATGGTATGCCTCTCGTTCATAAATGCAAACACTATAAAATGGTCAACTACACTAAGTTAACCTAATTACCCACCAACGCATGTAACATCTCTTGGCTCTTTCTACTTTTGCTCCTTGCTTGTTGTTGATCGTTGACCCCCCTTGTGCAATGTCCTAGGTCCCCCACGAACTACACCCTCAGTTAGATTACACTAGAGATTAGACTAAGTCAAAACTAAAACCAATTCACTTTGCTCAAAAGAAATCTTCTTTTAACAAAAAGGATGACTGCTTCTTCTGGGACTAATCCATTATAGAAGGGAAAAGGGTCAAAAAATGCCCTCAAACTACGCAAAATGGTTTAACTTTGCCCTCTATTAAACAATGTTATCAAAGGCGAAAAGCGCAAAAAAACTCTAACGTCTATTGGGGCTTTAAGCGCAAAGCGCAAATAAAGCGTGGGCTTTAATGAAAAAAGGCGCAACTGGAGAAAAAGTAAAAATATGTATATGTAGTCCAAGACCAACAATTATAAGCATAAACAACAAATATATGGACAAAGAAATTGAAAAAAATTACGATAAAGTGAAATATCAATTAGTTTAGTGTCGCCTTTCAGGATCACTCTCATTGGCAAAAAAAAGTATGCCTTAGAGCCTTGATGCAACACTGAAGCGCCCACAAAGCAACGCGAAGCGCTCAACATGTTTTGAGCCTCGCTTCAGGGCTTAAGCGCGCTTTAAGCGCACCTTTGACAACACTGCTATTAAAACTTGCTCTCAAAGCTATCCTTGTCGAGTTGTCGTTACCAAATTGGGCCTATATTGCCCTTTTCAGTTGATGAGACTTGATTTTGTGTTAATTTTATATATGATTAATATTTTAGCCCATTTTGATGCAGTCACTAATTAAAACCTATCAGCCTCTTGTCCCTAACCCCCCGACTCCTATTTTCTCATTTGCTATTTCACTCTCTTCTCCCGTCATCTCCTCTCATCCTCTTTCACCCTACCACAATGGCGTCCACATTATCCACAATTACCCTTCTATATTCGTCTCGCACTTCTCCCTCCACCACTAACTCCACACACGCTTCAATCCCCTTCAGACTCCCTAACTCCCCTAGCGTTGAGCAATTCTACTTCACCTCTCGCTGCCGTCAAAGCATATGTGAGACTCTGCTATGGAGTACTCATCATAGCATTTTGCGGATGCTAATTCTAGCTAAACTCAACGACCCTTTAATTTTTCCCATCTGGTTTGTTCACATTCTGTTGATTTAAGTTGAAATTTAGCCAAAGTTTCAATCTTGAATACTTTTTGGCAAACCCATTGTGTTAATTTGAGCTAAAATATAGTCAAAGTTTCAACATTGAAAACTTTTTTGACTAATTTTCACATCTGGGTTTTTCAAGAACTCAACAAGGGCACCATCTATTAGCTGGTGGGCTAAATGATACGCATAGGGGTACATCAGTGGTAGTGAAAATGAAAAATCCCTAACAACTGGTCTATGGTTGAACTTGAAGGTGGCAGGGGGTGTTAATTGGCATAGGGTTTTAATTAGGCACCCTTGACATTAAAATGGACTAAAAATACTAATTATATATAAAATTAACACAAAACCAAGTCCGTTAGTGGAAAAGGGCTATATTAAACCCAATCTGGTAATGGTGGGAATAGCTTTGGTGCCATGTTTTATCAGATGGCAAAGTTAAACCATTCCGTATAGTTTAGAGGCATTTTTTACCCTTTACCCATTACAGAATAAGAAATAAGTTTCAAAAACTGAATGGATAATATAGTTTGAACCAAGATTTAAGAATCAAAACACAAGCTTAGCTATTCATGATTCTATTACCTTAAAAACAAGCAAAGGTCTATCTTTTTTTCTAAAGTCCCAACTAACATGCACACCTTTATGATTACACCGCATACCTGTTACATCCTACTAGCACAAGTAGGAGATACCTCTGCTCACCAAGGCTTACACGGGAGTCGAGTAAAGATCTTTTGTTCACCCAAAAATATAAAGGAAAAAAAGTGATGAGAAGCAATGTTCCTAGGTCTGCATGCTGCCATTTTCACCATCAAAGTATGATAATCTCCCATTCACAAAATGCAAACACTATAATATGCTCTCGACTACAATAAACTAACCAAATTAACTACAACAACTACACCTCGATCCCAACAGGTGCAACAAGTTGAGGTCGGTTATATGAATACTCACCGACCAATTAACTATAAACAAACCAAAATAAACTTAAAAACTGAAGAAAGAGCACAAAGAGAGGAACATACAACTAGGATGATTAAAGAACCTGGCAGAGATAGCATCAAAACTCCTTCTAATTGGAANCAAAAAGCTGCACCCAAAAAAGAACACAATAGCAGTTAATATACAAATAAATTTATATTTATATGCTAAAATTAAAAAAAGATTGAAAAAACAAGTCTTTTTTGTGCAACTGTATGTTTTTGGTATAGCTGTGTGTAACTATGAGTTTTTGGTGTAGCTGTGTGTAACTGTGTATTTTTGGTGTAACTGTGTGAGTGATGTGTTGTGTATAGAGCAGAGGTTGATGGGGTTACCTAAAAGATCAGTCTTTTTGTGTAACTGTGTGTTTTTGGTGTAACTGAGTGTGTGGTGTGTGGTGTGTGGTGTAGAGAGCAGAGGTTGATGGGGTTACCAAAAAGATCAGTCTTTTTTGTGCAACTGTGTGATTTGGATATAACTCTGCGTGTGTGTGTGTTGGTAGAGAGCAGAGGTAGTTGGGGTTACCTAAAAGGGGGACAGATCTAGGGTTTGGATAAACCTGCAAGAACAGAGAGAAAAGTTATTGAAGAAAGTAAGTGAAGAACACTGATAGTGTACTTTGTTTGGGGGAGGGGGGTTGATTATATGGTTGTTAGAACTAGTCAAATGGAGATTTTGAGGTTGACATTGTGTTTTAGCAGAGAAAAACAGAAGAAGTGGATGGGGATTTTGGGGAAATTAATGAAGAGCTTTTATGAGTATTGGCCATTGGGAGTGTTGAGGTTAAGGAAGCATTGGGACATGGGAATAAAGGATGTGTGGGGTTGGAGGNTTTATTTTTCAAATGTTAATACTCATGATTTTATTTTATAATTATAGTGGTAGATTTTGGGGTGGTTGTCATCCTACTGCAACTCTATTCTTTGTTGGGGTTTTGAATCCACAATATAGCACATTCTCATAGATATAATTTAATGAGGAAATAAAGGATTTATATATCCGATTTCTAACTTTTTTGGAACAAAGACGTAGTATTGTTATTTTTGTAATAGTAAGGTCGAACATGATAACTTTCACCATGAAAAAGTTAAAAGACGGGAATTGATTCAGCGCAAATTTTAAATAAATTTAAAAAAAATTATAAACCCTTTTTTATCGCTAGTGAAACTTGAACATTGATCTTTCGTGATTCATTTTAGAAGTCATTCATTAAAATAAAGTTTAAGGAAATCAAACTGATGGTAATACTTTAAATGACAAAAATACTCTTGCGAGAGAGAGAGAGAGAAGGCTGCTCAAAGCAGACTCTGAACATATTGCTAAACAAGATATACTCAGTTTATGAACTTTCAGAAGATCATTCTAATTGTAATACATTATTGACATTTGACATACTATAAAAAGGTCCCAAAAGCTGACTTTTATACAGTCTTACTATACATTTGTCAAAACTCATCTAGAGAAGGTTCGTGTTCAAGTAGAATCTGAAGATCTGAACACTATTTTTGCAATACATCAAATGCCATTACACCACTTGATAACCACATCCATCAAAGTATAAACAAGCTACTTTCGCGTCTGGACTTCACCGATTCTTCCCTTGTCACTCCAAGCAGCTTAGTTACCGGAATGGTGCAAGATAAAAATGTGCAAATAGTTATCCTCAGTGACTACATTCCAACAGTTATGCTTAGCTAATAGTTTTATCTTATCTGAGCCAAGTCAAAGAATGGCTCTAGTTTTCTCTTTGGCGCAGACTTGGTCTCTTCAGGATTCCCAAAAATATTCCAAAATCTTAGTGTCTCATCAGCTGCTGCAGTCGCGACAGTATAGCCATCTGGACTCTGAAATATATTACACAAAAAGTCAATAAACTGTGAAGCACAAAGAAATATAAAGCATGAATGAATGCGACATAGCATTTGTGTTAACCAATCATACCTGAGCCATATGAAGAACTCTTGATGTGTGACCAAAAAATTCTGCAACTTTTGTCATCGAAGGATATTTCCACACTGTCAGCTGGTTATCAGTAAAGCCATGAGAACTCAAAAGCTCGCGTTCGTGTCTGTTCCAAAGCAACGAACAGACTTGTGAACCTGTATCCACAGAGTTCAAGCAAGCCCCAGTGTTGGTGTTCCAAAACTTTATGCACTCATCTCCAACACCACCTCCCGAGGCAACCATGTTACTCTGGAAAGGACACCAGGAAAGAGCTTTAACAGCAGCTGTGTGGTCTGTCATACGATGAATCCATTGGCGTGTAGAATTAGGTGACCCCATCGATACGCTCCATATATGGACCAAATTGTCATTCCCTCCACTAGCCAATTGCTGGCCTGAAGCAGACCACTTCAATCCACATATCTCCTGATTGTGTCCCCTGTATGTTCCAACGACGTGGGATCTTATACGCACATCATTATTGATGATCATAGTGTCCATGCTTCCAGTTGTCAGTATGTGGCCATTCCAATCAAGCGAGCCAACTCTTAAGCTGTGTCCCTGTAAAGTCCTCAGCTGTTTATAAAGAAAAGATATTAGACTTCTGATAAAGAATATTAATTTGCTGTACGCTAATTAGACTAAAAGAAATATGATGAAAGAACCTACTCACCAATCGGCTGGAACGGGAGTCCCACAACTGAACATGGGAATTATTTAAGCCCAATGCAAGATGTCTTCCATCAGGTGCCCAGCTGACACCAGTCACTGGCCCTAAATCATCACTAACTGAGAGAAGCTCAGTAACAGAACCATCAGAAGCATCCCACAGATATACAGAATTTCCTAGGGCAATGGCGACAATGTTACTGCATCCCCAATCTAACAAATTGAGATAAAAATCATCTAGGATATCAGGAGCGTCCAGCGTCCTCTCTGCAGTCTGTTTCAAAGGAGTTCTCTAAGTTAGGAACAAAAGCGAAGAAAAAAACATCTAAGTATGATACTCCTCCCAAAAAGGATGATACTTTGCGGATTTTGAGAGTCAAACTTCTAAACTTTGACCATGAATTCGGATATAGAATCGTTACATTTTTGTAAATAAAATTTATATATTTGGTATATAAAAGCACTATAAGTCACAACAATTAACAATTCAAATATTTAAAAGGTATATGAAAAATTCGTGGTCAAAGAACAACTCGTTTAATAACTCGTTTACTCTCAAAATCCGAAAAGTATTATTCTTTTTGTGACAGAGGGAGTAGTTAAAAAGAGGAAGAAAGAAATACACACTTGGGGAATGAATCTCCTCTTTTTAGTGGTCATTGACTGTTGAATAGGTGATGGAGATTTAGAAACTCTCTCAGCCGAAGGCGGAGGCTTATTCTTAAAAGCAAGGATCCTTGTTCTATTCATGTTGAAAATTTCTGCTAACTGTTTTGTATAGGCTTCTTTAGATGCAGAATTTACTCCAGAATTTTCCTTTTTAACCTTTCCACCACTGAGCATGTAATGTGCATAGTCAAAATCCATCGCAGAACGGTTGGGAATGAACCTGTCCAACTACATTTCACAAAAACCTTAGCATTTAGAACTCAACCTAAGCAAATTTCAAATAAAAAGCAAAACACAACATAATGCTAACACTCTAAAAATAATGAGAATAATCATTAGAATACCACACAAAACAGGATGAGATGACGAAAAGAACAGAAACTTCATCTACACATGTTAAAACACCTAACCCAATATTTTTTCTATTTTTATTAATGATAGCTCAAAGCAAAAACATAACCTTTACCTATTCCCCTATTTCAATTTCCTAAGTTTGATTGACAGTTTAGGAATAAATTTTAGTCCAAAGGAATTTCTTCACCTTCCATAAACCCCATACTCTTAGCTTCTTTCTCTTAATAAAAATGTAAAAACATCCAAACAAATTATTAATCAAAAGTAGAAGTGATCAGTCAACCACATTGACATACAATTTAAGATGCATAACAGGAAAAACTGGAAAATATGTAGCAAAACCAGATCGCAAGAAAATATGTTCAATAATCAAGAATGCATAATAACAAAAAATTTTAAAAAAAATCCATGTAATTACAGGGGAAAAAATGTAAGAGGAATTCCAAGTTGCACACAAATTAAGCAAAACGCACAAAACCCAAAAAAATAAATCAAAAAGGATACACTAATTCACTACAATTTACGAGCCAAGAAACTATCAATTAATTATCAATCAAGCAATCATCAATGACGCCAAAACCCTAAATTAGTTGGGTTTATCGAACCCAATTTCATGAGTGAAGAAATCATGACACAAACTCAATAAACCGTACATATATACAGGGAAATAGAAATCATACATTCTCTCGAGAAGTTTTCTTGTGAGATACCGGAGTAAAGAGAGGACGGCGAAACTTGTTGTTGTATCTGCTTCCTGCATCCATTGATACAGACCCAGCCAATTAAAATCTTTGGATACTCAAACGATTACTACAAAAGTGAATACAAGAAAATTCAGAGGCGTTTTCCGCAGAGCAACAATGAAAGAGAGAAAGAATAGTGTTAATGGCGTTTTCCGCAGAGCAATTTCTGAGAGAAGAGAGCGCGTTAGAATTTCTTCAGTAAGAATTCAGAGAGAAGGATTTGAGTTTCTGGTTGAATGTTAACGTATAATAACGGCTATATACGTTTCGGAGAAATACTTTTGGGCTAATGGGCCACAAGAAACGGGTTCTTACTCGGGTCAGTTTTGTGCTCCGGATAACCCATAGAGTAATCTCACTTTATACTCATTAATTTCAAACTATTTACCCTTTAATGTCCAGACCCAAACTATTTACTATTCCAACTCATGCTCCCCAAACTATTTACCCGCCTTTCTTCTTACTCCTCCTCATTTTACCTTCCTCACTTTATACCCATCGTATTTTTTCCTATATAAAAAATAATCCTTTTTGTAAGGCCATCACCAGATGCAAGGCCAAACATGAAGGAAGTTGCTTTGATCATCAATTCTATTGAGGAAGATGATGAGAAATCCTTGTCCATATTCAGTAGTGATGTCCGATTAATATTCACATGGTTAGTCCCAACAAGTTCATTCTTGTTTACCCACGCGTTTACATAACTATTATGCCAAGACTTTCCTAAAGTTAAAATTCTCGTTGGTTCACTAACCTCGATGTTCAAAGATGCCCATGCCTCTGGCCCTGCCACCATTCGCCTCTTCTTTCACGATTGCTTTGTTGATGTGGTGCTATCATTTTGAAGATTTATTGTTTAATTCGATGTTGTGCTATAAAATATTGCTTATAGTATCTTCGAGTAAGCTTCCCAGATCTAAATTTTTATGTGTATTTTAATATCCACCATTGTTGGGCTTGAAGCTCAATTTTATTTTTGAAGATTTCTTGTTTGATTCAAAGTGGGTGCTATTAGATATTGCTTATAGTACCTTTTGGAAGTTCATACTGAAATTTGATAGTATTTAGAGCTGATTTGAGGTGATTGAGATCGAAATTTTCATTTGAAAATCGAAGAAGAAACAGAGCTACAGTACTACAGTATACAATATGTTGTGGGAGTATATAGCTATACTGCAACATTATACAATATATTGTTATAGTATACTGTAATAATATGCAATATACTGTAACAATATGTTGTAATAGTATACAATATACTATAATAGTATACTTATTACCCGTAAATTCACTTGCCTTTTCCCTTTTAATTTGCTTTAAGCTTTTATCTAGCGTGTGAGAGACAAATTGAAAATGCAAAAAAAATAAAAAATATATTATAGTTTGTTATATAATGCAACGACCTTACAATTAGATCCTTTTAGAAGTTTTTGAAATTTTTATTGACAACTGATATTATTTTAATTTAATAATTGAATTAAACTATTTTTAACTCTTTGCGTACAATTGTATACCCTGTTATTATAACTATATACTATACGGGTATCAAATGTTCGTTAATATTTTTTTGGTTGTATTAGCTACATTTAATTGGTACACAATTTGATTTTTCTTTAGTGATAATATAAAAAAAAGAATAATAAAAATAGTAAATAAAATTAGATTATGAAGAGAAAAAGAATTTAAAAAAAGAAGTTAAATGAAATTAGAATAGGAAAAAAGAAAAAAATAAGAAGAAAACGAGAAATAAGAAAAGGAGAAAAGAAAAAGAAAAGAAAAAAGAAAAGAAAGGAAGCATAGAAATAAAAAAGAATTGGAGAATAAAGAGATAATCCCCCACAAAACCTACTATGGGTAAGAAATGTAATTAGTTATGGGTAGAAAAATAAATGGGTGGACAAGGGTAAATAGTTTTGTTTTTGTGGGTAACTGTGTCAAAATCCCTTATTGGGATTGTTACCCAAATAGCCGATCGAATTTACTGTTTATATTTTTTACTATACAAATTATACACTGATTATATACAGGTATAAACAATGATTATATACAGCTATACACTTATTATATACACATGAATTATACATATATTATACGTCTACGGGTTAACAGCTTGTTTAGATGGTTGTTATCTATTGTATTGTATTGTT